ATAGTTTCGAACGAAAATTTCTAACATTTTCTGGATATGTATTTACCATAATATTCACCCTTGAAATGGCCATGAAGGTGTGTCTTTTTGGATTTTGAGGACTTCTTTTGATGGGAGAAGAATGTCTTGTCTTCTAGGTCATTGCTAACGGATGTGTGCTTGGTCGAGGAGCGTATTTCAAAGATGGTTGGAATATCCTAGATGGGACGCTCGTAATTATATCCCTGATTAATGTTCTCTTCGAACTGTTTGCAACTGGCGGTAATTTACAGGAATTTTTTATTAAAAAGGCAGTAAATTAGATTCTGAAATGGACTTATTTGTCAGTAATTTTTTTATATGTAGTTTTGCTCTACGTCACCTTTCTTAGATTCTCCAAAAATCTTCGGAGTGATTCGAGTGTTGCGCCTTCTCCGAGCTCTTCGACCGTTGCGAGTCATCAACCGAGCACCCGGTGTCAAACTCGTTGTCATGACACTTATTTCTAGGTTGCGCCTAGATTTTTTACTTCTTTGTTTCGCTTGTCCCCAATTTTTTTTATTAAACTAACTTTTCAGCTTGAAGCCCATCGGAAACATTGTGCTTATATGCTGCACATTCTTCATCATCTTTGGTATTCTCGGCGTGCAGTTGTTCAAAGTAAGACTACGAATATGTATTTTATTTTCTCGGCGCTTGCTTTTCCTTCGTTATTGCCAATTAATGGATACAAAAGACGAAACAGTCACCTCAATCTATAATAAATTACGGAGAAAAGTAGTAAGCTTTAATAGATTATATAATAAAGCCCACATGTACGTTTTTAGTGTTAAAGCTTTTATCTTTTAAAAAGTCAGAACTATTAAAACAGGAAATGTATCTCTTCTCATTCCAGGGTATGATGTTTCATTGCGTTGGGCCGGATATAGCTAACGTTACCAACAGAGCCGACTGCCTGCATGATCCACGAAACAAATGGGTTAATCACCGATACAATTTCGACAACTTGGGACAGGTAATTTGACCCAATGGAGCTTTCAAGTAGTAAATTGGAAATAGATATTTTTAGGCGTTGATGTCGCTGTTCGTCTTGTCCAGTAAGGACGGGTGGGTGTCAATAATGTATCAAGGTATAGACGCTGTTGGTGTGGATCTGCAGGTGAGTTTTTGAAGAAGGTATCTCTTGCATTCTTTAAATGCTTTCATTCCAGCCAATCGAGAACTATAATGAATGGCGTATGATTTACTTCATTTCCTTCCTGCTTCTTGTTGGGTTTTTTGTACTAAACATGTTCGTCGGGGTCGTAGTTGAAAATTTTCACAAATGTAAAGAAGCGCTAGAGAAGGTGAAAAGTCTACCTTTCAACAACGAATCTTTTTTAAAATTCCCAAACTACAGGAAATGCGTGAGAAGGCAAGGGAAAAACGCCTACAGAGGAAGCTAAAACGCCAAAAGTATGAGGAAAGCGTAGCTGGAAGG